TTCACATACAAAGTAATTGATAATTATCTTTTCAATAAGTATATGAATTTAGACACCTCTATGCAGTATAAACATCAGTTAAATAAATTTAATATTAAGTCGGAACTCCCAGCTGAAGACATATGCCATGGCTTTATTCATAAAAACTTTTAATTTTTCTTGTAAAATTATTTAAAACTAATCACTACTACTGGGGATTTAGCTCAGCGGTTCTGCCACCTGCCCAGCAAGCACAAGGGCCCAGTTCAATCCCCGGTACCAAAAAAAAAAATCACTACTGCAAAGACTTTTTCTGATTCTATTTGTCCAAAAGTGGGCTAGACTTATTTTTTCTGTAAACTTTCTATGAATTTTAAAATGTCAAAAGATGTCCAGATTTTAAAATTCAGAAAAAGCCAGCGTATGCCCTGTTTTTGTATAAAGGTAGGTAAAGCCATCTCATGCTTCACTTCATTCTCATCTTTTAGATGCAGCACAATTTTATTGTCGCTATAACACTATTTTATTATCATTATAACAATGAGATGATGCAGGCGCTGGAACCACTGAGCTAAATCCCTGGCCTTTGCAAACAGGGAAGGGTGAAGTTGGTGAAGAGAGGACAGGGGTATGGGGAAGAAACAAGAAACAAGATAATTATGCAAAGGTACAAGACCCCGATGATAAATGTAACTGCATTGTTTGCTTTAAATGTACGAATAAACTTAATAAAAAACCAATGAAATAAATGGAAAATAACTTACTGGGAGTAAAATCAAAAGAAGACCTGTTAACTTCTTATGGTTAATGTTCACCAAGTACTTTTTTTTTTGGTACCGGCGATTGAACTTGGGTCCTTGCGCTTGCAAGGCAGGCCACTGAGCTAAATCTCTGGCCCCTTCACTAAATACTTTAAATGCTTGACAAAATATATCTTTAATTGAATTCTGATGAAAACAGAGCTTCAGGACATATATATAAAACACAACACACAAATGATTTTATCATATATATACATGGTGAAATTATTAGATTGAAAGATAAACATACATATTCATATTTATCAATATATGTAGTCAAACATTTGAAATTCATTCAATACTTTTGAAATATATATTATTAATGACTACAATCAACCTGTTATATAATAAGTTTCAAAATCTTCTTTCTCCTTCCTACTAAAACTATGTACATTTGACTAACAATTTCTCATGTCCTTCTCCCACACAGCCTTTGGTAATCACAATTCTACTCTGTTTCTCTAAAGTCTGCAGTTTTATGTGAATTACGTAAGTGAGACTTTGCAATTTTTCTACTTCTCTGCCTACTTTTTTTCATACAGTGCAATGTCTTCAAAATCTAACAATTTTATCAAAATAAGGGAATTCTTTCTTGTTTAAAGTGTGAAGACAACCTAAAATGTTGGGAAAAAATTTATCAGCTGTTCCTTAGACAAAGGATTACTATCTACAATATATAAAGAATTTAAAAAATCAGAACCTGTAAAAATAAAAATCCAATTCAAATATGGGCATCTTAAATGAACAGAAATTTCTCAAACAAGAAAAAGGAGCAAATAAATATATGAAAAAATGTTCAACATCACTCACTGGTCATTTGCAATATGCAGATGAAAACAACACTGAGAAAATACCTCACCCCAGATAGAATGGCTGCCACTAAGAAATCATTCAATAACAAATGCTGACGGGGTTGTGGGGAGAAAGGAACCCTTCTGTACTGTTGGTGGGAGTGCAGACTCGTGCAACCACTGTGGAAATCAATATGGAGATATCACAAAAAACTAGGATTACAGGTCCCATTTGATACAGCTATTCCTCTGCTGGGTATCTTCCCAATAGAATTAAAAGAATCATATCATAGTGATACTTGCTCACCTATGTTTACAGTGGCACAGTTTGTAATAGCTAAAGCTTGGAAACAGCCCATTTGGCCATCAACTGGAGACTGGATAAAAATGTCTTTTTTTCTTTTAATAAAATGGAGTACTACTCAGCCATAAAGAATGATAAACTAGAGACCTTTATAGCTAAATTGATGCACCCTGAGGTCATATCCTTAAATAAAATAAATAGGACACATGTAAATACTGAATAGTTTCCCTGGTGTGAGACATTAAAAGTGTAAATAAAAATCAGAATGTATAATTGATAATGTGAAATAGGAAGAAAAGGTCTAAAGGGGTAGGGGAAATTGAAGGGGTAGAAGGAAGGAAAGAAGGGAAAGGAAAAATATGAGAAAAGGAAAAAAGTGAAACAAAGTTTTTGTAAATCAGGAAGGGTGGAGAGGGTGACGGGAGGGCAAGGGTACGGGGTAAAAATAAGAACCAAGGTACATCATGCTAAGGTACAAGTTCCCAATGATGAAAGTAACTGTATCATATACCTAAAATGTACCAATAAACTTAATGAAAAAAACGATGAGTAGTATTCCACAGTGTACATATATCATACTTTCTTCACTCACTCATCCACTGATAATAACTACAGTGATTCTGTAAGATATGGTTGATTCCACATCTCAACAATTGTGTATAATGCTTCAATGAACATACACTTACTGATAACTCTTTAACAGACAGCTTTCGATTCTTTTGGATATATCCACAAAAGTGAGACTGGACTATATAAAGTAATTCTATTTTAGCTTTTTAAGAAATCTTCATTTTAATAATGGCTGTACCATCAGTGTCCAAAAACACTCTTTCTCTGTATTTTCACCAGCATTTGCTGTTCACCTTTTTGATGAATCATTCTAACATATATCATGTGACATACTATTATAGTTCTAATCTGATTTATCTGATGCTTAGTAATGTTGTATCTTTCTTCATGAACTTACTGCTTGTTCTCTTTTGAGAAATATACGTGTGTGTCTCTTGATCATCTTGAAATTGTGTTATTTTCTTCCTGTTGAGTTGTTTGAGATGTAAAGCTTGTAAATATTTTTCTGTGGGTTGTCTCTTTGCTTTACTAATTGTCCTTTGCAGTTCAGAACTTCTAGTTTGCTGCCATTTTATTTTTTAATTTTTCAATTATTAACTTCTTCAAGATAGTTTTATAAAGAAAGAGTATGAGGTCTGTGTGCCCAAGAGGGACAATGTCATACTTTTTTTTTTTTTTCCTGTACTGGGGATTGAACTTGGGACCTTGTGCTTGTGAGGTAGGTGGTGGAACCACTGAGCTAAATCCCCTGCCCCGACAATGTCATTCTCAAGAGGGGAACTGGTTCTTGAAGATACAAAACTCTTCAACATTGCTAAAGTTCCTGATCCTCCTAAATTTAATCTAATGCAGCACACAATCTTTTCCTTGAAATTTTAATTTTTCTGGTAAGAAAGAATCATCTTTAATATAATTTCTCTCTCTCCAGGGGCGAGAGATAATGAGAAAAAATATCAAAATTGAGACACAGAGAAAACACAAAATATAGAAATTACTGAATTTTTCTGATTGTGTAATCAGTGAATCACAATAAACTTAGAAAAGCCGAATTATTACTATACTTCAAAAATCACTGCATAATAGGGTCACTATTGCTGAACCATGGATTTCTTGATATATATCAGACAATATTCCAAAGTAAATGCAACCATTTTTAACTAATTCCTTATAAAAATTCAATTCAAAACCTACTGCTCATAATGTTGTTTTCCTAAATGATGTGCAGCTATATTAAGCAAAAATATCACAAAACGGTGTACAAGGATTGAATTGCTTTCTAAAGTAAATTTAAAATGGAAGTTCCTGTGCTCAAAGAAGCAAATACTAAAAAGTCATTTTCTTGGCAAATTGAGTTGGCCAAAGCATCATTTCGCTTTGTCCTATGTGGCAACAGGGGGCTATAGAGAAACATCTGTCAGCTCACAGATTTCAAGAACAAGTGAATCTCCTGGTTCAGAGTTACTCGGAACAAAGGAAGTAATGATTCTGGGTTGCTAAAATGTGACTAGCAAAGCAAATAGCCTCATATTCCAAAGTCAATCTGTTCTCAATGGAGGGAGCAAAGAGAAGGAGGTGGAAAGTAATAGAATCACACAGGGATTTAAAATAGCGTGCTTAGAGAATAATTCTGGGGCACATACTGGATTAGCAGCAAGAAACTAAATTTTATCCTAAATTTAATTTCACCCAAAGAAACTCTTGATTACTTAAAAATAGAGCATGCTGACAACCAGAAAGCACATACCCAAGTTATCAGCTCACAAAATAAAGCTTAGATGGTGTCTTAGATTTTACATTCCATCAAATGGATTTTCTGAGAATTTAACATGCACACAGTTTCATTGAGTTTATTGGTACAGTTTAGGTATACAGTACATTTACATTCATCATTGGGATCTTGTACCTTTACATAATATATTTTGGTTTTCCCCATTCCCTTGCCCTCCCTTCACTTCCTCCACCCTTCTGAATTTACAAAAACTTTGTTTTAAATAGATATTTTCAGGATAGTCTGTATATATTCTGATTGTTTCAAATTAAATGATTTATAAATCACAAAAAGAACTCACATCATTATTTTTAAGGAAATAAATTTTTATTTAAAGAATTTCACATGTAATTCCTCCAATATTCATCCAAGTCATTCAAGATACCCCCCCCCCCCGCTTTTTTTTGGTACCGGGGATTGAACTCGGGTCCTTGTGCTTGTAAGGCAGGCCACTGAACCGCTGAGCTAAATCCCTGGCCCTCAAGGTAGCCCTTTTTAAAAGAACTGATATTTACTCCACTCATCCTATGTGCCTTGCCACAATTCTTTTGTCTCCACTTGAATTATGGACAAACTGATGACACCTTCAAAACTGGAATCTCAGATTCAAATTTCATCCAGCACTTTAGGAGCTTTTGGGATAGACATATCTGCCTTGCTTTGACAACTTCTCTAAACATGTGGACGTTCATATTCATTCTCTAAGCTAACACACAGAGAAATAGTCCGGGTCTAGGATACATAAATATCTGAGGCTAAAGAAACAATCATATGTCTTCCATACTTTTTGCTGTCTTGTAGCACTTTCACACAGACCTAAGAATAAGACCTGTGAACAAAGGAAAACCACAGAGTTGCTCTATGAGGCATTTCCAAAAATGTGCAGCTATTGGACAAGACGCTTTGGGAGAGATCTCAAGACTTTCAGAATCGTGTAACTGCAAACTGATAAGTATTTTTAAAATATCAAAATTATCAAGAAAACTAGAAACTATTGTTTTAACAAATATTCCAGAGACAATTTATTTCATATTGAAAACACTATTCACACAAAACCCTGATTTACACTACATAACTCCTTTTCTGTCTATAAATATATTAAACAGAAACCTGTAGTACCACTTCTGGAATGGTGCTGCACTTGTCCCTGAAATTTCATTACTTATTTAAAAAGTATGAAAAAGAAAGGCAAATATTTTCAGAATCAACTTTCGGAGAACACACGCTTGTATTACATAAAGAACTCTCACAAATCAACAATGAAAGACAAACAGTTCAACTGAGAAATGGATAAAATTTTTCATAGACATTTATCCAAAGACAAGCAAATAAATACATGAAAGATGTTCAATATCAAAAGTAGAAAAATAAAAATCAAACCCACAGTGATATACCACTTTGTACAAAGAAAGATGGTTAAAATAAAAAGAAAATAAAAGTGTTTACAAGAACACTGGTGATTTGGAACACTCTGAGATTGGTGGTAAGACTATAAAAATATCATGACCTGTTTGGGCCATAGTTTGGAAGTTTTTCAAAACGTTGAACAAACACTATTATATGACTCAGCAATTCCATTTCTGCGTATGCTTATAAGAATCGTTCTTCAACACAAGACTTCTCCATTAATCTTCATGGCAGTGAAATTCTTAGGAGCCAAAAAAATTTTTGCATGTTTATCACTGGTGAATGGATAAACAAAATACAGTATACCCATATAATGGAATATCATTGTGCTGCAAAAAATGAGGAACACACGGATACATAGTGTACCGCGAAGAAACACTGAAGATACAGAAAGGAAAGAAGCCAGTCACAAGAGACCACATAACGCTTGATCCCACTGACACAAAATGTTCAGAACTGATACGTACGTGGAGACAGAGAGTGGTTGCCAAGAACATGGAAATCAAGAGAATGAGAATGACTTCCAATGTGTACTGCGTTTCTTTTTAGGGAGGATGGAAATATTTTAAAAGTAGATTTGGCTGGTAGCGGCACAACTTTATGAATATATTAAACTAATGAATATGCATATACTAAAAGAATACTCTAAAAGGTTCAGTTTGTGACTTGCAAATTATACTTCATAAAGCTCTTATTTAAAAAAAGAATCTGGTGGCAAGGACTGATGCAAAAAGACTTAAATGAGTGAATTCATGAAAAATCCTTAGCATAGTGACTGTTATTGTAATAGTCAAAGGATGTGAACTATATCTAGCTGTGGTTACTTTTGAAAAAAAATTATCAAAATTGGCTTTGAAATTAATAATATTATGGAATATTTAATTTATCTTTCTCAGGATGAATGCAAAGTTCAATTCCGCTTTAGTAAATAAATGGCATTTATAGCAAGCCTTGTAAAATGTATCTCATTAGTTATATATCTAAGAAGTGCCATTTTCTAAAACAACTTCCTTTCCTTCTAAATAAGACATTTTTTTCCAGATGCCATAATAATTTTTCCTTTAACATCTTTCTCATAAAAATATATAAAAATCCATACCGAAAATTTTGGTAAAAATATCATGCATTAAAAATAATGCCAAACCATGCACAGTGGTACACAGCTTCAGTCCCAGCTACTTGGGGAGGCTGAACCAGAAACATAGCTTGGTCCAAAAATTTCAAGAACAGCCTAAGCAATACAGGGAGAACCCATCAATCATAAAAATTGAAAGCATGAAATGCCCTGGTATCATAAAAGACTAACAAGGAAGCAAACAGGACCTGTCATAGTACTTTTGGCAAAAAGCACTTTCCAACAGGGCCATTTGTCCCTCCTCAGTGAAAGAGGGCATTGTCTTATACCTAAGAATGCAATGGTCCACACCACATTTTTATTTTTATTTTTGTGTTTTCACTGGGCTTACTTTATTTTATGTTTCTCATTGAGTTAATTGGTACTTTTAGGTCTACAGTACAGGTACAGTCGTCATTGGGATCTTGTACCTTCACATGACAGGTCTTGGTTCTCCTTTTTTCACAATGCCCCTGCCCTCCTTCACTCCCTTCCCTATTTACAAAAACCTTATTTCCATTTTCTCCGATTTTTTCTTTTCCCTTATTTCCTTTCCCCTACCTTTCCCACTTCCTTCCCCTACACCTTGGGCTTACTTTAAAGACAGCTGCAACTAGATACCAAATTTTCACATAAGCACAGGAGTCACTCTGGGCTGCACAGTGTAATTTACATGTGTTTTAGGACTTCTTTTTTGTTGTCAGCATGACCTGCAAGATTCTTCTAGGCTCATGAGGTCATGGTTTTAAATTTTAACTTCTAAGTGATTTTTTTAACTTTTATTAGTCCACGTTTACAGTACATAAAAATTACATTCACTGCATGGATTTGGTACACGTACCTGACACATTTAACTCCCTTCTGCCCAGCATTCTTTCATTGTCCTTTTATTTTGCATTTATTTATAAGATTTATAGATTCATTTATTTATAACACCATACAAAGTTAATTATCATATATACAGACTGAAAAACCGACTAATAGGCCAAAGAACATATAAAACATGTAAGACAATTGTAGTAAGTCAAGGTAAACTTTTAGATATATTAACCGTGCTGAATTGCAATTCTCTCTCTTTTTTCCTATTTTCTGTTTTTTAGTGTATCTATATAAATGTCTATATATATATATATATATATATATATCAATGTACATCAATTTTTCTACAAATGACTCATATTCCCTTCTTTATGGCAGAGTAATTCTCTGTTGTCTATAAGCACTACATTTTTAATCTATTCATCTGTTGATGGACATATAGGCTGTTTCCAGGATTTAGGTATTAAGGACGGCACTGCTATAAACATGGGTGTGCACACTCCATTGTGGTATGATGTCATTAACTCTTTGGGGAAGATACCTAAAAGAGAAAAAACGAGGTCAAATGGGATGTCTACTTTGCTTTTTGAGGAATTTTCATATGATTTTCATAGTGATTGTATCAGTTTACAGTCCGACAACAATGGATATTGGTTCCTTTCTCTCCATAGCCTCACCAGCATTTGTTATCAGTTGATTTATTGATATAGCCATTCTTTTTGGAGTGAGAGGGAATCTCAGCGTTGTTTTAATTTGCACCTCTTGAATGGCCAACAATGCTGAATATTATTTCATGTACTTACAGGCTGTTTGTATGTCTTCATCTGATACATACAAATAATAAGTAGTTAATCATTTCAGGTGATCATTTTTTAACTGGGTCTTTAAAAGTGAGGGGTCTAATTCTTTGGAGTTCTTCATCGAAACGATTTAAATGTAAATATAAATTAATCTTCAGTTCTGTACATGATGTCCCACATCAGTACTCTTAAGATATGAAGAAAATACACTTCCCAAATCAAAGAAGTTCCAAAATGAATTCTTGAAAAATTATAGCTAGTGAGCATATGCCAATAAATATAAATAACTACTCTGCAAGACTGTATAATTATTATATATGACACTTTACATTTTCTAGACACTTTCAAGCCATTAATTAGTTCTTTTTGCAAACATCCTGTGAATCAACAAGTTATTTTTCTCTTTTAAGATATGACTCAAATTAAAAGAACTTCTTTTACAAAATCAAAACTGATGTCATATTATTAGTGAGAAATAATTTATAAAAGTGTTATTTCAACACTATCTATATCATAATTACCCAATGCACTGTTTTAAATTCATATTTCACATAATTATATTTAAGATATCATGGAATATTTGAAGAGTTCTATGCAGGAAAGGTCTTTCTGCTTTGAGCTTTGTGGTGCTGTCTCTGGAACACTGATGACCGAAGTTGTTAGGAAGAAAATCTCCTTCCTTTGTGAAGGTCTTCTAGACAATGCGACCTACTCTTTGTCCTATACTGATTAATGGAGTGATACAGTATTTAGTGATAATTCAACTGGCTCTTTGTAGCCAATAGTGACAAAACTATAGTAACAGAAGTGTAAAGCAAGAAAGTTTATACAGGAGTGCTACAACAAACTTTAAAAGGGGAGAAAAATGACAAAAAGTTAAGCAGGAAAAGGAAATGAAAGAGGAAAAAGAAACCAAAAATTACAGAAGCTGAAGAATTAGGCAAAGTTATAAAGAAAGCAAGCAAATCAAGAAAAGTCTTTCAGAAAAGCAACCGATATATTTCTCAGAGTAGATAAAGTACAACAACAGTAACAAACAAACAAACAAACAAAAAATAATAGTATCATCAGCGGGTAGAGTTGGTTATAATCCATAATTTTTACTTGGAAATTGTTGTTCCATGCCTGCTACCGTCAGGGTCCGGGAAAATTTTAAACATTGTTTTGTACATGTGCAGTCAAGTCAGCTTAGACTGGGAGAGGAACCAGAGAAAACCAGAGAGAGTGCTGTAATTCAGATATGACAGATGATGTGAATTAGTCAGGTAGGCTATGGTCTACAAATGCTGTGTGATTTTAACTGTAAGCTTTTAAGTAAAAATTATATTTGTTATTTATTATTTAAATTTCCATTATAACAATTTTTCTTACATTTTATTACTTAAACACAATGAAAGAGTTTTCCAGTGGAATGAAAGAAATGCATTTTAATATTAAGGCAGTTTAGCAAGTCTGTCTATAAACTGTAAATCCAGTAATTACAAATAGTGGTTGACAAGGAGGATAAAAACTCAAGTATTTAATGTTATCTTCAGTATTATAGGTAATAAATATAACCTGGATTTATTCATTTCTATAACCACCTTTTTCAGAATTTTTCTTTATTTATTTATAAGATTTCCCTCAGTGTAGCTATGGCTACTATATGACTAAACACATTTACACTGGATTGTGCTGTTCCATTTTATAATCAAAGTAATTTACCTTCCTAGAAAAGAAATAGTTGGAGGTGAAAAGATATCACTGCCAATTAGCCAGAACTCTGCCATGTTGAATGTTG